TTATAATTTAGCAAATTTTTATTTATTATTACTTTTGTCAGTTTCTAGTTATCTGAGGGACTGTTGTGTCTTTTCTTTAATGGAGGAGATGAATCCATGTGAGGACGGCTGTAGATCAGCTTCGTTCCTCCTCATCGACTCGTTGTTCTTCGGTGGCAGGTTTGAGCTTCATGTGAACTAACTGACAGCACAGACGGTGTTCTAGCTCCTGTGTTTGCTCCGTTGGCTAGACGACAGTATAAAACCAGGTGTTAGTGGCTGAAAGCAGCAGCTGGAGGTGAACGAGCTCCGTGGTGAGTTCAGCTGGATGAGCACAGGGAGCAGGAGAGAAGCTCTTCAATCGTTTGAATTACTTTATTTTGGATCGAGTCCGTTTTCTAAAACTGACTTCAACATTTATGCAGCGCGACTGAAGGAAACCGTTTGTTGTAATGAACTGAAGCTAAACAAGAACAGAGCAGCTGATACCAATTATTCTGATCGATAATAAGTGTGTTGGTCGTTAACGCTGTGTAATGAGTGCTGACCCGGACCAGACTGGACCTCCTGGTGGATTCACTGCGTCTGGAGCAGGTTCTGCTTGTTTACGCTGATTCCTGCCAGTAAATTTAGAAGCATTGTGCGCTGAAGGCCCAGTAACGGACCGGGCTTTGTTCTCACATTCCTGCCTCTCCTCTGTTTCCCTCCTTCATGCCGCTCCATCTGCCCTCCCCTCCCTCCATCTGGGCCCACATCTGTCCGGGGAAACACCTCCTCGCCGGTATTTTTATCCCTCAATCCGAGGTATTGTGTGTTGCAGCGTGACATCAGCTCACCGGTGCTATTTTTACCTGCCGGTCAGCAGCAGCTCCATGAAGCTGATGGAAAACAGTCGCCGCCGCCGCCGCCGCCGGGTTGCTGAGAGTCGACGGTGACGCATGTGAAAGTGTTCTTTGTGTGATTTTACATTGTTGTGGAAAAACATTTGATTTAGATTCAAGAGCTGATTATGTGGTTATGAAACATGTCAGTCAGGGTTCAGAACCAGCAGGCTGGGATTTGGACCTCTCTACGTGTGAAAAGTGGATTTTGAATCAAGCCTTCCATCCATCATCTCTACACCTTAATCCTCAC